TTTCAATCTAAGAATGTCTGCATGAGAGAGAGATCTTATTGTATTAAGAGTTGGAGTTCAAATCTTGTTTAAATATAAACAAGATCTACTTCCTATTTTGAATATGATTTCAATCTAAGAATGTCTTATCCAATTTCTAGCTAGACCTTCAAACTTTAAAATAAGTAGGAAATCTGTAGGGTGAGAGATTTAATAAAAGTCATCCATCTCACAAATCAGCTATCATGATTTTGGGTAGAAAGATCTGAACCTTATCTTTTTAGATTGACCAAGGTCTAACTCCTATTTAAAATTGGAGTAGGATCAATCTTATCATAATCTAGATCTCTCATAATCAAGGATAATCTATATTTTAAAAAAACTTTCATTGGATAAGGAAACCAAATCTTATTTGAAAAATTTTCCTATTTTTAACTAATTTATATAATTAAACAACTAGAAGAAAGTGGAGCGGGGGCGTGCCCCCACTTCCTAAATAACTGGCATGCCCCTTATCCCTAAAAAGGTGGCGTACCACTTTAGTTTATTAAAAAATAAAGCATCGCCCACTAGGGGGGGCAGGGGCCTCATCCATAAAATAAACATATATATACCTCACCCATAAAATAAACATATATATACATGTGGGACTGGATCCTTGGTCCCACATGTTTTATTTCAAGTTCTGCAAATTTCAGAAATACCCTTTTGATTAAAATTACAACAAAATGAATATTTTGAAATTCTGAAAAATATTTAAAAATTATAAAAACATTTCTAGTACCAAAATAAAATATATTAAGAGTGTACTGGTATCAATGGGCCAAAAATTAATGATAATAAAGAACTTCCCTCACCCTAGAAACCATGATTAGCGATCGTTTTCTTATCCTTCTCAACAAAGACCCATGGCCTACAGTCTCATTTCAGGGGACTATGATTGGTTTGTCAAAGTTGGATGATAGACAATGAGACCATGATCCTAGAATGTGGATTTTAGTTTCCCTTGTTAAGAGCAAGTCTAGCTCTTGTCACCATAATGCAAAAGGCGCTCTTCCAATGTCAGTGTATCAAAAAGCGCTAGGCGGTTCCTAGGCGGCCTGGGGGGTCCAGGCCGCCTTGCGCCTAGGCGGCTGCCCAATTGAAAAAAAGTAAAAAAACATACCAACTTATCAATATACTATATTCCAAGTTGGAAACAAAAAAAATAGACGTCGAGAAGAGAATTTTGATAATACATATAATTAAAACAGTAAACTGTAAACCATACAAGTGTAAGATATAAAAGTCAACAGTCAAAACAACAGAAATATACAAAAATTTATAAAATATACAATCTAACAAAAGTCAACTCTCATGACGCAACACAACAGTTAACAGACTCGACACTCAGCACCAAGAGGCAAGAGTCTTCAGTCGTCATCAACATCATCATCAGAGAGAATATCACCAGGGCAAGCCTCATCATATGCATCAAAGTCTAGGCCATCATCATCAGAGTCATCTCCCTCTTCAATATAATGCTTGTCCTCCTCTGTTTCTTCTTAATCTGCCTCTTCCTCCTCCTCCTCTTCTACCTTCCTCTTACTACTACGTGCAATCTGTGCAGATGAGGTCCTAGGAATCTTGACTGCTCTACCCTTTTCTTTGTGCTTCTCTGAACTCAAATATTGTATAATTTCCTCTTTGGTAGCCTCAAGAACATTTTTACACAAGGCAACATCCCCCTTAATATTGGCAAGGTGTTTTTTAAACCGGTAAATGCCCCCATTTGTATCCTTTCCACAATAATTACATTTAATACGATTTTTATCACTTGGATTCGAATTATAACCATACTTCCAACCCGAATCACCACTTCGACTAGAACCTGGAGAAGATACTTCCATAGAACAAGGCTTATTTTCATCCTTTTCTGGTTCTTCAAATTCAGAAAATGTCTAATCTCATCCCGAACTGCTTCAGGAACTTTTGTACAAAAAGCAACATTACCTCTAACACCAGCAGGTGTTTTTTGAATCGGCTAATACCCCCATTGGTATCTTTTTCACAAAATTACACCTTATACAATTTTTATCATTTGGTTTTAGGTTGTACCCATACTTCCAACCCGGATCACTTCTTCTAGAAATAGATGAAATAGAAATAGATCTATAACAAGGATTTTGTTATTGTTTTAGTTTTACATAACTTATAAATTGCTCAATCTCCGCTCTGATAGCTTCAGGAACATTTTTACAAAAGGCAACAGCCCTTTTAATATCTACAAGATGTTTCTTAAACCGGTTTATGGCTCCTTTTGTATCTTTTTCACAAAAAATGCATCTAACACAATTTTTGTCATTTGGATTCGGGTTGTATCCATATTTTCAACCCGGATCTCCACTCCCACTAACTCCTGAAGAAGACATCTCAAAATCAAACAAGCAATCTAAAAAATGCACTTACTTTGGTTGCTCGAACTCCAAACTTTGAGAAACACTTTGATGATTCAATCCAATGAAATGTAGTTTTTTTTAGGTTTCTTTCTCTCTAAAAGGGGTTATTGTAGGTTTAGGGTTCAAATGAACCTAAAACCCATCATTCTAAACTTTTATATCTTGAAAAAAAAGAGGAAAAAAAAAAAAAGGTACTTTTCTGCCTTTGGACGGGGTACTGGCCCTGAGCGGCCGCCTAGGGACCACGGCCTAGACCTGAGCGATGCGCCCAGGCCTTTTGGACCGCCTAGGCGTTGGGCGGTCCATTTTTTTGAACAATGTTCAATGCACATGTACATGTGTTCCTTTATAAGACTGCTTCCCATTAATGCGATTGTCATGCGTACATGTCGCGCGGGAATTTGTTGAAGCTTTGGCCCTTGCTCTCACAGGCCCACAACAGCACACCAAAGACCACACAGTTCTTCTCGCCTATAAACATCATCCAAGGGCATCTCTTCAACCTCAACAAGGGATGACCTACCCACTGAAAACCCTTCTCGACTGTGCCATATTCCGGGTAAGGGTTTTGGACATGATCAGGGCCATAAATCACCCAACCCTTGGTTAGTCAACACACACACTCCCACTAAAATGCATATTCCACTATAAAATATTACGCTTACAAACACTCTAGGCTTTAAAGGTCACAAAACCCAACATTTATACCCGTAAAAAGTAGGAATGCGTTCACAATTACCACCTTTCTCAATATTTATACCAAGTTCGTTCCACTCAAAAGTTTCAAGGTAAAAAGGCCTACTAGTGCCTGAAAGACTTACATAGACTCTACAAGGGCCCCTTAAATTAAAAGTCCAAGTAAGTGCCAGGAATATTTAGTTAATGCCTAGGAAGTTGCTTGGACCAATAAATTGCGCTTCTCTAACAATTTTACCTTTCATATAGGACTTCAAAATATGAGACTACAAATGGATTGAAAAAAAATGATGGCATAAATTTCGGCTGCAAATAATAGAAGTTAAATACTTTTACATTGTACAAATTTATGTAATGAATAGAAAATCATTTGAGTCTGAAAAATAAGACACGACGACTTGGCTAGTGCACAACTTTAATAAATGGAAAGTCCAATTGCGCATGTGTACTTTCATTTATAAAAAAAAATAGTTCTTTTGGCCAACAAATGGTTTCTTCTAGGCTTGTAGCACTGTAGCATGCCTGGTTGATTAGTTGGGTTCAATTCCCACACACATTATTCTCCATAAATATTTTTTTGAAAATCTGCCCAACTTTTTCCAGGTTTACTAGTTCAACTCAGCAAGCGAACTCGGTTCTGGCAGTGAACAAGAAGCAACCGGTTAGTTTTTAAACACTAGTTTTACCATTGGTATTGAGCTCATATTAGGCAGATCAAAGGGAATATTTTTGTAAAATTTAGGAACAACTCTCTCTCTCTCTCTCTCTCTCTCTCTCTCTCTCTCCTCTCTCTCTACTTACTCTACTACTACTCTCTCTCTCTACTACTACTACTACTACTACTACTACTACTACTACTACTACTACT